AAGGGAGCAGAGAGAGGTAGTCGGGAGGGTCAATGAAGCAGCTTGGTCTGGGCCCAATGTAGCAGGGGCAACAGAGCCTGGTCTTCCATCATAGTCCGACTCAGGGCCCTGGTCACCCACCCCACGAGCCTGGGGTAAGATAAGTCGGTTCAGTTTCCATACAGCATCACTTCTAAAAGTCTGGATTCTGGGGCCAAGCGATACCTCCTACCAGGGCAGCCAAGGAGGCCGAGCACTGGCCAGTGCAGAAACGGGTGTGTCGTCCCCAGCGGTGCTTCTCCTTTTAACAGGGGGAGTCCTACTGCTTCATACATTCTCCCACACTGGTACAGAGACCTCATCCTCCCTTACGCCCCAGTCTGGACACTCAACCATACACCAAGGGCAACCTCTCACGGGGTGGCCCCTCCAGCGGGAGGTCTGTTGACTCACAAGAACCCTACGTTGGTGTTCCTTAGCACATACAACATCCAAAGAAGGGGCCAATGTAACCCTCACCAGCCCCAAGGTGAGAGTACGTGAGTCCCCTTACTACGACAAGGTGACATTTTGAAGGGGTGGGAATTAGGTCAAACTCTTTTTATAGGCTCCGCCAACTAGCCTTGTGCGATCAATTGCTTTTTAATTAACCTTTTCTGTCGGTTGAATTCTTTGTTTAATGTAACTTTAAAGTTGTGCCTGGCGGCGGCTTCAACTGTATCATCTTTCAGTGCATTTCACTTGACCAGCCATACAAAGTATGAGTATTTCCTTACATTTCTTCAACTTATTTGCCTTTCCAGCTTCCACTTATGTCCTCTCGTCCTACTTTCTCTCAGTTTAAAGAGGCAGTCCTCGTCCACCTTGTCTGTTCCCTTAGGATTACCGCCTCAGTAACGGTGTGATCAACTTCATCATTAACAGTTTCAGCTAAAGCTTTTGTGTGATACATTGAATGTAAAAATGTGCCTATTTTCCTTTCTCTCCACCTTGACAATACTCTTAAGAACTTTTCAAATTCCTTGACGTAATTTCTTAATTTATGGAAACCAAGAATACCTGTACACTATAAAAGGCATTAAAAGCTCTCTAACCTTTTAAAATGTCATTAAATAAATCTGTGTTTGAAATTCGACATTTAGGAATTATTGCCAAACATCACTAGATACTGTGTAATCCGAGTCTTTAGTTAAGAGTGCATTCTCCATTATGTATGCACATATGAATAAAGATTTTGGATCAGATTCCTAAAAAACTACATAAATTGCCTCCCGGTTTAAGGAATAGCCTTAAATAAACAATATGTTGAGGTACAGCTACCATCTCCCCCTTTCCCTGTACGTTATCTCCAGCAATATCTACCCGGGCTCCAGCCTGGAACACTGATCCATAATTAGTCGCCTCCAGCAGTAATTGGAGACCTGATTACGAAACGACTGGCGGAACATGTTTTCAGAGGAAACAGGTGCGCCAAGGCTTAAGATGAGTATTGGGAAGAGGAGCGCTAAAGTCTGTTCAGCAAGAGTCAGAAGTCATCTACTCCTGTACCCTCCAGTGCACGAAAAAGCTATCGTTTCTCGTGCACTGAAGATCACATCCCCTTTAATATTGCCGGGGGCAATTGACAGAGCTATTTCCCGGGTGTTAATTTTCACGAGAGTAAGCAGAGAGGGAGGAGGGAGCAGGGAAGGAGGGAGTAAAGAGGAAAGGTCAGAATGAGAGAGGAAAAGAGGTAGGCAGGAAGGAGGGAGGTAGGGAAGGGACTGAGGGAGGGCGGGTGTGAAGGGCTGAAGGAGGTAGTGAGAGTTACATATAAATACCAATATATTGATGCAGCGGTAGAAATAAATATTTAGAAATACACTAAAAGAAAGAAGGAAAGAACTTGTGAAAGAAAGATAGGGAAAGAGAAGCAGTAAGGAATGAAGACACACTGGCCATGATAAGAGAAGCAGCCAATATAGAAACTCAAACTACACAACTATAATACACATCACACACACATGAAGAACACTTTACAATATGTACATATTACAGAAAGAAAAATACCAAAACAATTATGAAAAATCATATAGATAGCTATAAGAATTAAACTGCTGTATCATTGAATTGGAAATATGTAGTACGTTCGAAATATTGAATTATGGCATCACTCCCCTCTCGCCGTCTGGACAAACTATTCTCCCTTGTGAACGTTGGCGCAGAATATGCGTAAGTAATGGCTTAATTCATTGTCGGAATTTGTAATTAGGAAACACTGAAGCCTGAAATATGTGATAAATTAAACAAGAATATAATAGTGGGAGATGCCAGTTGTGGTAACCCGTTACTCTTCTGAGAGCTTGTAGTAACCCTTCTATCTGTTGATAGCTATATAAACGGATGTTTGATCGTTTGTCTGTGTCATAGGTTCGAGGCCAGTAGTTTGTACTTAGATTCGTGCAACTTTCCATGGTGATTTGCAATTATATGGAGAATGTCAGGGTGGATCAGTCTTCTCCCATGCCCCTCTTTAAGGATGATTCGTTCCTATTGCGACAATCAACGACTTCAATAGTCTGAAAGGGGGGGGGGGGGTTTCTTTATTTTGTTTTCTGCAGACTGTTTACTTGTTGATCACAACGTTGCATCAAACTAGCAACAGTAACCGTAACGTCATCACCACATTGTGTTTGCATTGCGTGTTCAGAGACACAGAACGGTACAGAGAATGGGACAGAGAAAGAGTGAGAAGGAGGGAGAGAGAGAATGGTAGGGCGAGAAGGAGGGAGGGAGAGTGAAAGTGAGAACTGGAGAGAGAATGGAAAGGAAGGAGGCAAGGAGATAGAGGCAGACAGGGACCTGGGCACCCTCCTGTAACTCTTGTAGTCAGTCTAGAATATGGATACCAAAAGGTGTGCGTGCCACACATCAGTGCGTATACATACAGTATACATGCTGGCTGGTCAGAAAACTACATTGTGGCAGCCTTAATAACCCTCCCGTGGTTGACAGGTCTTGGCCCCAACAGTAAAACTGTTGCATCATATTATATGTGCTTCTACAGCATTCCATTCTTCCTTATTTCCATAAGTGATAGTTGATTTTAGTTGAAGACTATGAGCATAGGTTAGAATCCATTACTGCAGTCAATTATATGCAGGTAAATGTGTGTGTGTGTGTGTGACGATATCAGAGCCATCTGGTGAGCACACCCGATCCCATTTTCTGTTCCCCCGGTGGAAAGTTGTGATCTTACCGACACCTGTGTAGTTTCCTTCTTACTATACAATCTTTACTCCCCAGAAGTAATGTGGAGGGCAGCGTGGTTGACCAGAGTCAGTACACCCAGGGCGGTCCTGACTACAAGACTTGTTCCAGTGGGAACACGTGGGCCGAGTCGGTGGAGACTGCTGCATTGTCTGTGATAACCAGTGAAGATTGGACTGACGTATTCCAGGATGGCCCAGTTGTGTTACTAGATGGAATTAACGTCTGTCTGGCCTGTAAGTTAAGGCTTTTTATAGGTGAAGCTTTTAGGGAAAGCCAGCCGCCGTGTCGCTGGAGGGCCAGCCGCCGCCGTGTCGCTGGAGGGCCAGCCGCCGCCGTGTCGCTGGAAGGCCAGCCGCCGCCGTGTCGCTGGAGGCCAGCCGCCGCCGTGTCGCTGGAGGCTCAAAGTAGTGTTTTGACACCGTGACGATACTGTGTAGGACTGGCCCATGATTTACTGAGAAAGATGGACTCGCCGGCGTGAGGACCACAGAAGACAGGCTCGGGGAAGGAACCTTGAGTGGTGTAGGATAAAAAATAGAAGTGGATTCGACGGGATAGAAGATCGCAGAAGTTCTTTTGTAGTGTCTCGTGTGAAAGTGACACCTGCGATGTTACGTGTTGCACATATGTAATAAGTGTATATAGTTAAGAAGTACACATGATGATGGTCGTGCTTAGTGTTGTCTACCCCCATTCCCTGTGGATAGACTATTACTGCCATCTCTTCATAACTTACTAGGACTCGGAGTTGAATCTGGTAAGAAAAGGCACTAAAGCCTCGTAGAAAGTTTGAATGGAGAGAACCCTGTTCCTGACTAAGTGAGGCCGTAACAATATGTCTCTGTTCAAACTTTGGACAAGTCTTTTACCTGAGGCAAATGTTCCCTCTAGTTTCCCCTTTACAAACGCGAGACTTCATCTTTTTTTATCTCTGATGACGCAAGAGAAATTGTTGAAAGTAAAGGAAAGATCAACTTTAGCCTCACATGTAACACAAGACAACCATACTGGTGTCTCATAACTATGCTGGTTAACCTCGGGTACATTTTCACATACACTCTCACTTAAAAAAAACAAAAAAACATCCATTGATCTAACAGTTACATACGTTCCTTTTATATGTTGGTCTAAAGTCCCTCGTTAGATCAATGGACGTTAGGTTCAACATTAGCTGCAGTAGTAACAGCAATAACAAAAGTGGTAAAGGTAGTAACGGTAGTATTCGTCGTAGTCACAGAAATAACCGTGTTTGTAAGCACGAGTGATTATCATGAATCACAAACTATATAAATTCTCTGTTTTAATTTCAAGTCTTGTTCAAGATGAGTTCTTTGGCACTCCGTCTCCTAGCTGGGTGTACTCGCTGCGTTCTCTCTCTCTCTCTCTCTCTCTCTCTCTCTCTCTCTCTCTCTCTCTCAGTTCCAGTGACTTTTATCCTATTTGCTCCTGAGGCTGTGGCTAGAGGCGGCTTCCACACATTTTTCTTATTGTTCCTCCCACCTGCCGGCCTCTCGATGCCAACATCTGGATGAAGCCCACTGGTTCATATTCACTTGCATGAGTCAGGTGCATTCACGTGTCGTAATTTATCTTGAGTGAAAACGGCTATCACTATCCACCACCTATATTTCACTAAGTAATATGCATGCAGTGATCATATCCCCTCTGGTGCTTGGCGCTTCTAGAGTTATTAGATGTCGTTCATGTTACCCTTTATAACACTCTTAAGAACAATACCTCATGGGATGAGACAGCCAATCCTTACTTACCTTGCTTGACTGGTCCCAAACACAGTTCCTCGCCTTGCACAGTTGCTCAGTAACTGGTACAGTCTCGTCCCAATCTGGAAGTATGTAGGGGGGGGGGAGGCGTGGTTAGAGAGTCTCAGAGTACCCGGCCATTAACAGCTAGGAATAATAATAATGAATAATAATGTCAATAAAAATAAGAGCTGTAATAATGATTCCAGTAACAATGAGAACAATGAGATATACAATGAACCCTCTGTGCAGTAACAAGGATGAGAGCAATCATAAAAGGAAAAAATAACATTTAGCTCACTTATTTTTTTTAAAGTGATACTTGTAATCACGTGATACTTGGATATCACGTGATGATACCCCTTCACAACGTGATACTGACCATCACGTAACACTACTAACCACGTGACACTCATGGTCAAGTAACACTACTAACCAGAAGAGCAACTATGAGGTAGCACACTAGGCAACCTCTTCGAGGCAGTAGTGTAAATTTGGACATATCACGTAAATTTTTGGTTTTGGCAAAATAGGTAAATGGTCTACCCCCCCCCCCCCCCCCCCCCCCCCCCCACCCGTCTTTTGAGGAGGTGTGGTCATTATTAGCATCAGTTATATGCTGTAGTAATACACAGTTTGGCCCTACTAATTTTTGGAGCTTCATAGAGCCGTTTTTATTCATGCGATCGATGCGATTAGTCCTCAATATTTCAAAAAATTATTTTGGTAAATGAATTGTATTGTCATACTTTTTTTTTCTTGTGGAGGCAACAAGAAAAGTTGCCTCCACAACTTTTGAGGAGGCAAAAGTAAACGTTTTGGATTCGGGATCAATACATAATCTCATACTAACCTAACTTAATAACTTAATTTTGCCAAACAGACTGGAAAGTTGAGTCTTGGTATTAAACCACCTCTCCTGCTTAAAACTCTAGCGACTGACTGTTAGTTTGCTAACTTTGATATTTAAGAGGAGATAACATTGAGCTCTCTCTATATAGAATAAACTCAATACCACCACACGTGCACGCACACAAGGAATGTAGTGTTGTAGAGTGTAAGGAATCCTTCAGAACCTTGAAGTCTTACATATGTGAGGACCCAATCCTCACATGTGTAAGATCAATCCTGGAGTATGCGGCACCAGCATGGAGCCCGTACATTGACAAGCACAAGACGAAGCAGGAAAAAAATCAGAGGTATGCCACTAGGCAACTAAGAAGCATGAGTTATGAGGAAAGGCTGCGTGAACTGCACCTCACGTCGCTGGAAGACAGAAGAGCTCGGGGAGACATGATCACCACATACAACATTCTCAGGGGAATTGACAGGGTAGACAAGGATGAATTATTTAACACGGCTGGTACACGCACAGAGAACTTTTTCAGTGTCAGGGGAGTTAGTAAACTGAGTGTACTAGGAAGTGATGTGGTGGAGGCTAACTCCATTCACAGTTTCAAATGTAGGTAAGATAGAGCTCGTGAAATTCAGAATTCTTTACACCAATATCTTGAGGTTATCTTGAGATGATTTTGGGGCTTTTTTAGTGTCCCCGCGGCCCGGTCCTCGACCAGGCCTCCACCCCCAGGAAGCAGCCCGTGACAGCTGACTAACACCCAGGTACCTATTTTACTGCTAGGTAACAGGGGCATAGGGTGAAAGAAACTCTGCCCATTGTTTCTCGCCGGCGCCTGGGATCGAACCCAGGACCACAGGATCACAAGTCCCGCGTGCTGTCCGCTCGGCCGACCGGCTCCAAGGGAGCCGGTCGGCCGAGCTCCCTTCCAATAGATTGAAGATTGAGAGGCGGGACCAAAGAGCCAAAGCTCAACCCCCGCAAGCACAACTAGGTGAGTATACATACACGCGCGCGCGCGCACACACACACACACGCACACACACGAGCAGAGCAGAGCAAAGCTCAATCCCCGCAAAACACAACTAGGTGAACACACACACACACACACACAGGAAAAGGTTCAAAGGTTTGCCACCAGACTAGTACCCGAGAGATATGAGCTACGAGGAGAGACTACGGGAATTAAACCTCACTTCGTTGGAAGACAGAAGAGTTAGGGGGGACATGATCACCACATTCAAGGTCCTCAAGGGAATCGACAGGGTTGATAAAGACAGGCTGTTTAACACAAGGGGCACACGCACTAGGGGACACAGGTGGAAACTGAGTGCCCAAATGAGCCACAGAGATATTAGAAAGAACTTTTTTAGTGTCAGAGTGGTTGACAAATGGAATGCATTAGGAGGTGATGTGGTGGAGGCTGACTCCATACACAGTTCCAAGTGTAGATATGATAGAGCCCAATAGGCTCAGGAACCTGTACACCTGTTGATTGACAGTTAAGAGGCGGGACCAAAGAGCCAGAGCTCAACTCCCGCAAGCACAACTAGGTGAGTACAACTAGGTGAGTACACAGTCTATGGAAAGATAGACTGGGAGAATGGGGACCCACATGGTGGTGCAGATACATGGAGAGCTAAACTCTTGGAAGTGGCAAAAAGCAACTTTCTGAGCCAGCATGTCAAGGAATCGACAAGAGTGAGAGGCAATGATGAACCAGCTAGACTCGACTTGATATTCACCCTGAATGAGTCGGAAATAAGGGAAGTCAAAGTTGAAGCCCCCATAGGAATGAGTGACCACAGTGTAATGACCTTTGAGTACTTGGTGGAGATAGGGGATAACCTATCCAAGGATGGGATCGGAGGGAAAAAGACTAAGTTACCGAAGAGGAAAATATGACGAGATGAGGAACTTCCTAAGGGGAATACCATGGGAAACAAACCTTAGAGACAAGAATGTGCAGGACATGATGGATTTTGTCACCCAGAAGTGCCAGGAAGCTGCAGACAGGTTTATCCCCGTCCAAAAAGAGAAAAACTAAAAAAACAGAAAACCCATGGTTCAACCAGGAATGCAAGGTAGCGAAGCAACTGAGTAAGAGAACATGGAGAAACTGCAGAAATTACAGAACACCGGAGAGCAGGGAGAGATACCAGAAGGCCAGAAATGAGTACCTCTGAGTGAGGAGGGAAGCAGAGAGACAGTTTGAAAATGACATCGCGAGTAAAGCCAAGACCCAACCAAAGCTGCTCCACAGCCACATCAGGAGGAAAATAGCAGCGAAGGAACAAGTGATGAAACTGAGAAAAGGGAAGAACAGATACAGAGAATGACAAGGAGGTGTGTGAAGAACTCAACAACAGATTCCAGGAGGTCTTCACAATAGAACAAGGAGAAGCCCCTGCACTAAATGAGGAGGAGGCAAACCAAGCAACCTTGTAGGAATTTGACCTCACCAGTGATGAGGTCAAAAGGTGTCTGCTGGAGCTGGATGTGACAAAGGCTGTTGGGCCTGATAGAATCTCACTAGATGCTAAAGGAAGGTGCAGAAGCACTAAGTGTGCCACTCTCTATGGTGTATAACAGGTCACTGGAAACAGGAGAATTACCAGAAAGTTGGAAGATAGCTAACGTAGTCCCAATATACAAGAAGGGTGACAGGCAAGAGGCACTGAACTACAGGCCAGTTTCCCTAACTTGTATACCATGCAAGGTGATGGAGAAGATCGTGAGGAAAAGGCTCGTAGAGCATCTGGAGGGAAATAACTTTGTAACACACCACCAACATGGGTTCAGGGATGGTAAATCGTGCCTCACAGGTTTAATAGAATTCTATGACCAGGCAACAAAAATTAGGCAGGAAAGAGAAGGGTGGGCCAACTGCATCTTCCTAGACTGCCAGAAATCCTTTGACAAATTACCCTATAAAAGGCTGTTAAGAAAATTGGAGCAACAGGCAAGAGTAAAAGGGAAGGTGCTCCAGTGGATAAAGGAGTACTTAAGCAACAGGAAACAGCGAGTAACAGTGAGGGGGGAGACATCAGAGTGGCGAGATGTCACCAGCGGAGTCCCACAGGGCTCAGTACTTGTCCCCATCCTGTTTCTAATATATGTAAACGATCTTCCGGAGGGTATAGACTTGTTCCTCTCAATGTTTGCTGATGATGCAAAAATTATGAGAAAAATCAAGACGGATGAAGATAAACAGCTGACTGGACAGGATGACCTAGTCAAAGGTTCTGGAAAAATGATCTAGAAACAAATGGCTGCTAAATGTTCAACCTAAGGCCCCTGTTAGCAGTAATAGAAACTTCATTACCTGCTACAGGCTTCTTCATTAGGAAGAAGGGGAGTTAGCAGAAGGCATGGTCGAGAACCGGGCCGCGGGGACGCTATGCCCCGAAATCATCTCAAGATAAGCCACGTGGGTAGAATCCAATGTCTTGGAGTAAGTTGCATGTTTGCAACCATCTTTTGCCTCCCAAATCTTGCAGCTATTACATGTCTTACCTGTACCTTGCCGCAGTCACTTTACCCGTAGGCTGTTGCTGCAAGCACTGTGTGTTCCATCTACCACCTTGCATGTATGTGTATGTATGATCTAACTGATGTATGTGTCAGTTTGAACGTGTGGCCCTGTGTTTATGCTTCCGAATTCTAAGTAAAGTACTAAATTTTAGACTTCAGCTCGTGTGTTTTGATTGTACTCGTGCTTATTGAACCTCAAAGTACTCCAACAGTCATCCACTGAACCTCTGTACAGTCAGCCCGTCCTCCAAAAATGGGGAGGTAACTGTAACAGCCCCATAAGTGCAATTATGTACTATGCATGACAGTCGGGAAATGTACTTATTACACTTAGTATTAAAACGTACTTATTACACTTAGTATTAATATACATTTAGTATTACACTTAGTATTAAAAGTATATCAACTCAGAGGATGGGTTGCAACAGTAGCAAGTGAATAGATGCATTTCATGGCCACTTCCCCCTTGATGAGTGGCGGCGCAAGTCATCTTGCTGCACAATACTCATACAGGAGTCACGTTTATATACACAGTTTAGTAGTCTTTTTCTCCGTGTGTATTATTCCCAGATGCCTGATTTCCTAGTGTCGTAAACACCCAATTTCCTATCAGTTGGTGTAATGTTGTTTGAGACAGCATTTGCCAAGTGTTAAATTCCTGCTATGCTATTTATCATCTCTGCGCTACACACAAGTGACAATGACAACTATACAGGATAGGTAATTACACACAGAAACCACAATAGGACTGTTTTCTAAGAGAAATTCCGGATCAGCCGGACTGTGGAGCGGTCTGCGGGCCGCTCCAAGCAACAGCCTGGTGGACCAAACTCTCACAAGTCGAGCCTGGCCTCGGGCCGGGCTTGGGGAGTAGAAGAACTCCCAGAACCCCATCAAGCAGGTATCAAGCAGGAGTATGCAGCTCCAGCCTGGAGTCCATACCTAGTTAAATACAAGGCAAAGTTAGAGAAGATTCGAAGGTATGCCATCAAATTAGTCCCAGAACTGAGAGGTATGAGCTACGAGGAAAGGCTACGGGAACTAAACGTCACGGCCCTGGAAGACAGAAGAGTTTTCGACACACTACCAGTAATCTGGGGCAGGATTACTAAGAAGTGCTGCTTGTAATTCTGGCCCAGTAATCTGGGCCAAGAATTACAAGCAACCTGTACACATTTTCTCAATCTATTGTAGATTTGTTTATATTTTCAAGGAAATGGGAGGGGACCCTCAACAAGCCGCTGGCTTGCTGTCCTCATCAAGGCCACTAGTGTTAGTGGCCGTCGGGTAAATTAGGTATTCATTAAGCAGTTTATGAGCATCAAAACTTCCAAATTAAATATTATTATTGTTATAAGGAGTCTCCTGGTGCTTCAGAGCTCGTAAAGTTATTAATATATGTAAGCAAAGTCGCCCAAGATTAAGAAAAAAAATGGTACAAGTTCCAATACTCTTTCACAAAAGCTGTCGGCTCTGATACACAACCTATCCAACATGAACCTTAGTCCTGGCTTTGTTGCTGTTGACTTTTCCCTTTCACAGTACATACTCTAATGTCCCAACTTTCATAACAAACGTGATCTGACGTAAGCTTTGTTCCCTCTAGACTCTCTCTCCTTTCCTACTCTTCTCTTACCTTCTCTTTCTCTCTCTTCGCCATTTGGCCTCCTGCAGTTTTTCTTTATTTTGTATTTTCTTATATATATAAGAAAAAGCTATAAATATAAGAAAAAGTTATATAAGAAAAAGTTATAAATATATCTTTTTCTTATATGTATAACTTTCTTATATTTTATAACGTTTTCTTATATTTATACCTTATTCCCACGTCCTTCTTCTTTCCCTTACTTATAACCTTTAGTATATTTTACCCTATTCTATTAATTCTTACCCATCATAGCACTCTCTTATCTATCATCTCGTTATCAGATTTTTGTCTTGAGTGCCTAATCTTCAGCCATGTTATTGTGACTCATCTCCTGTATTGTGTATCAATGGTGCGTCTAAAAGAATTCATCGCACTATATAAAAAGTACATAATGAACCAGCATCAAAATTCAAAAAATTCAAAATTCAAATGTTCATTCAGGTAAAGTACAAACATACAAGAGAAGATATAAAAATTGATAGATTTATAGATAGAGTTAGTACATACAATGCCTAAAGCCACTATTACGCAAAGCGTTTCGGGCAGTTAGAGATCAGATCAGCTAGAGATCTAAGTGCAGAGCTGCGTATATGTCACGCTGCTCTATTATTGCATGCAAGCATAACTTTACCCAGGGCAGGAAAGTATTTAAAAACCTCTACAGTGAATATTTCATAAAACCTCAAAAGTTCACTTGTCACTGTGTTCTTGCCTGCAAACCTGCACAATTTTACACTGCACACAGAAATCATAATAACATGATACATCAGATGAACAAACCCACAAGGGCCGTGGCCTCCATGGCCACGAATTCGATTCGAACCCTCATCACGGCCCTTGTGGATTTGTTCAGCTGCATAATTTTCTTTTTCACTTTAATTAGGAAGAAAGATTTTATTAGCAAGACACAGCGAGGATATTAAATATTTGCTCATGTGTATTTAGCTATTTGTGCAAAACCCACGAGTTAACAGTTAACGTATATGTAAAAGGTAAATATAGCAAAGGTCTGAGCATTATGTTAAGAATATACGAGATTCATCCCTCTCACAATGCCAACAGAAAATAGTGATATTGGTCGAAGAGGAGAATTCTATAATTCACAAGAGAGTCACAAGATAGCATCAAAAGAAAACAGTATTATAAGGAGAACAGAAAACAAAGAAAAGCGTATTTTCTCAAGAAACAAAAGCCTCATTTTGACGACTGTTTTATACACACAATACAAACTAATATATATAAGTGTATGAGAGCACACAGTACTCTCGGACATCACACAGATCTAACAGACATTATGAAAACACACACTAAGCTCCTCACCCAAGTTCAGAGGGCCGCACCCAAGCACAAATTCACATATTAACACACCACACCTGAACACACCACACACACATTAACACCACACACACACACATTATCACACCACACACTAACACATCACACACACATTAACACACCACACACACATATTAACACACCACACATTATCACACCACACATTATCACACCACACATTAACACACCACACATTAACACACCACACATTAACACACCACACATTAACACACCACACATTAACACACCACACATTATCACACCACACACACATATTAACACACCACACATTATCACACGTACTACAAATACAAATAATCGCCAACAGAACCTAAACACCTAACCTATGCTATATATGCACAAAACGCTAGCATATTATACATTTATATTTTAGAAAATTCCTGTTTTGAATTAACAGCCTGTAAAAATATATGAATGCGTCTGCGGGGTCGACCGCTCAACCCGTCCTCAACTCAAGTCCATTACATCCAGCGGTCAACCCCACAGACGCATTCATAAATTTTAACATGCTGTTCATTCAAAACGGGAATTTTCTCAAGTATAAATTTATATTATAATATATTAGCATATTGTGTATATATAGGCATAGGTTAGGTTAGGTGTTTAGGTTCTGTTGGCGATTATTTGTATTTGTAGTACGTGGGTGAAGCATTTACAGCGTTCTGGTGCGAACAAAATTCGTCAGTGAAGCACTTGTTCCGGATATGTTCGAACGTCAGCAGTTGTGAGTCGTGTGTAAACCGCTTTTCATTCATAAACAGGGGGTTTGGCGGGTGCATGGAATCACTTTTGGATCTTTGTTTGGAGGACGGGCTGCGACCGCTTGATATAATGGATTTGAATCGAGGACGGGTTGGTAAATGCTTCACCCACGTACTAAAAATACAAATAATCACCATCAGAACCTAAACACCTTACCTAACCTAACTTATGCCTAAATATGCACAATATGCTAGTATATTATAAAATGTATTTTTATTTGAGAAAATTCCTGTTTTGTATGAGCAGCATATTAAAATCTATGAATGCGTCTTTGGGGTCGACCACTGGATGGAATGGACTTGGTCTGAGGACGGGTTGCTACCAGAGACAGACGTTTCAGTGCATTTAGTTTTTTTTCTGCCCACTGTCAAAATTATGATTAATCGAATCATTTGCCAAAACAAAAACTTGAAAAATGGTTGAGAACTAATCGCATCATTCACAAAAAAAATGAATATAACAATTATGCTGTAAAAATTAGTGGAGCCAAATCGCATGTTACCAAAATCAAAACACACACGATATGACCCCCATTTACACTACACATGGCTATACTCACTGCTGTAGGAGAGAGGACAAGGAAGCTGGAAGCTCATCTTGTCAGTCCAGGATAGTGTGAAGTTCCTCACCACAGAAATCCCCAGGTCGAACATCTTCAGCTCCTGGGGACAAGGAAGGAAGCAAGTAGAAAACGTCTCTCAATATGCAGCAAACCTTTACAGAAACAAGTTAAGTGTCTACGAAAGTGAACCTCACTTTCAAAGGATAACACATAGTAAACTCATGGGGCTAAAATATTAGCGTGTCTGTTCTATCCACTTTGGTTTATTTATTAATTTCTCCTCCATCTTCCTTTGACTCCCCTAACCCCATCCTTCCTCCCCTCCACCCTCCTCCTATCCCCTCCCTCCCCCCTCCATTTCCCTCCCTCCTCCTTCAAGCATCAGCGAACTCACACCAATCTCCTAAGAGCCACTCAACAGCCATACATGGTTCCTTCTCCATCCTCGCTCTCCCTCCCTCCCTCCCTCTCATTATGGGCCCCTCACTCTCTCTCTCACTCCCTCTCCTTATGGCCCCTCACTCTCTCCCTCACATCATGAGGCCCTCACTCTCTCCCTCCCTCACCTCATGGGCCCCTCATCCTCCTTATTCTCCCTTGAAGCATCATAGTGCCAGTCCCCCCCCCAACACCCCTCCAGTACTCACCCCAGTAGCACTACCATAGTGCCAGTACCCCCCCCCCACCCCCAGTACTCACCCCAACAGCACCTTCATAGTGCCAGTACCCCTCCCACACCCCAGTACTCACCCCAATAGCACCACCATAGTACCAGTACCCCCACACACCCCAGTACTCACCCCAATAGCACCACCATAGTATCAGTCCCCCCACACACCCCAGTATACTCACCCCAATAGCACCACCATAGTATCAGTCCCCCCACACCCCCCAGTACTCACCCCAGTAGCACCACCATAGTGCCAGCCCCCCCCCCACACCCCCAGTACTCACCCCAATAGCACCACCATAGTGCCAGTCCCCCCACACCACCCCCAGTACTCACCCCAGTAGCGCCACCATAGTATCAGTACCCCCCACCACACCCCCCAGTACTCACCCCAGTAGCACCACCATAGTGCCAGTCCCCCCACACCCCCAGTACTCACCCCAGTAGCAGCATCATAGTGCCAGTCGCCGGAGGGCCAGGTGGCACCATCGACCAGGAGGAGCGAGGGCCGGGCGGCCACATTCATCACCCGGACGTCCGACAACACCAAGCCCTCCACAACTGTACCGTAGTGTTCCACCGTCCACGTTATCCTCTCCTGCAACAAGAAGCACGCTGCTGAAGGCTGGGGATAGCAGGAGTTAGCCACACAGGTGGAAATGAAGTTCACACGTCTAGTGCATGTGTAAGGAGCTGTAGAATGAGTTAAGGACACATACAACAGGAACGTCTTGTAGGAAGTCAAAGGTGATTTAAGTTATTGCATTACACACAGAAATCACAATAGCGTGATGCATCAAATGAACAAATCCACAAGGGTCGTGATGAGGGTTCGAACCGACGTCTGAGAGGATCCCAGACGCTGCCTTAATCGACTGTGCCACGACACAGTCAAAAGAATTGCAACCGGGAGTTCATCTGCCCCCCACACACGGATCCTGCAGTCTCTCCGAGACACAAACCAGGGTTTTACACAATTCCTCCGTGCACCCCCGGCCTCTGTCAATAAGCTGTTCTACCTCTTCGCCCTTATTTCATTACACACAAAAATCACAATAGTGTGAAATCACGAATAGGATCCGCGTGGGGGCAGGTGAACTCCCGGTTGCAATTCTTATGACCGTGTCGTAGCTCAGTCGATTAAGGCGCGTCTGGGATCCTCTCGGACGTAGGTTCGAACCCTCATCACGGCCCTTGTGGATTTGTTCAAATTATTGCATGTTACTTACGTTCATAAAGCACGAAGGTTCATAGAACAAGTTCTGGAGCTCCAATGTTCCTGTCCATCCTCATAGTATGAGAGTGACTGATCGAAAGTACCACTATGAACCACCAGAAAGTTTCTGGTGATGGACCACCAGAATGTACCGCTATTTAGTGATGGACCACCAGAAAGTACCACTATTTAGTGATGGACCACCAGAAAGTACCACTATTTAGTGATGGACCACAAGAAAGTACCGCTATTTAGTGATGGACCACCAGAAAGTACCACTATTTAGTGATGGACCACCAGAAAGTACCACTATTTAGTGATGGACTACAAGAAAGTACCAATATGTAGTGATGGGCCACAAGAAAGTATCAATATGTAGTGATAGGCCACAAGAAAGTACCAATATGCAGTGATGGACCACAAGAAAGTACCGCTATGAAGTGATGGACCGCCAGAAAGTACCGCTATGCAGTGATGGACCACAAGAAAGTACCGCTATGCAGTGATGGACCACAAGAAAGTACCACTGTGTAGTCATGGACCACAAGAAAGTACCAATATGAAGTGATGGACCGCCAGAAAGTACCATTATGAAGTGATGGACCACAAGAAAGTACCGCTATGCAGTGATGGACCACAAGAAAGTACCGCTATGCAGTGATGGACCGCCAGAAAGTACCATTATGAAGTGATGGACCGCCAGAAAGTACCAATATGTAGTGATGGACCGCCAGAAAGTACCATTATGAAGTGATGGACCGCCAGAAAGTACCATTATGAAGTGATGGTCCGCCAGAAAGTAGACTTGTAATACTCAATTTCGACAAACGGGAAACGTTTTTTAAACGAAACTTTTTAGATATTACACATAACCTAACCTAACCTAACCTAACCTAACCTAACCTAACCTAACCTCTCCTAGTAATCCTAGGCCTAATACACACTATCTTAGGCCTAGTATAGTACATATATATGGGCTCTATTAGGAATAGTATAGTACATATATATGGGCTCTATTAGGCCTAGTATAGTACATATATATGGGCTCTATTAGGAGTAGTATAGTACATATATATGGGCTCTATTAGGAATAGTATAGTACATATATATGGGCTCTATTAGGAGTAGTATAGTACATATATATGGGCTCTATTAGGAATAGTATAGTACATATATATGGGCTCTATTAGGAGTAGTATAGTACATATATATGGGCTCTATTAGGAGTAGTATAGTACATATATATGGGCTCTATTAGGAGTAGTATAGTACATATATATGGGCTCTATTAGGAGTAGTATAGTACATATATATGGGCTCTATTAGGAGTAGTATAGTACATATATATGGGCTCTATTAGGAATAGTATAGTACATATATATGGGCTCTATTAGGAATAGTATAGTACATATATATGGGCTCTATTAGGAGTAGTATAGTACATATATATGGGCTCTATTAGGAATAGTATAGTACATATATATAGGCTCTATTAGGAGTAGTATAGTACATATATATGGGCTCTATTAGGCCTAGCAATATTTAAGTTTAGTCTTTAGCTTTAATTTTTCAGGACTATAAAATTTAGCAGTACAAAAAGTAATGTCAAGTCGCTCCATCACTACGTATTGCTATAAGTGACTAATGGACTAAATATTAACACTGTTATTCGAGGATATCTGTGTGCTCAAATCAGAAAATTCACCTTTCTGAAGATGTATTATTAAAAACGAAAGTACTTAAGGAAATTCCTGTTTCAATTCTTCCTTCGTGGTCTGACACTGTCAAGGATATCTATAAATATATACCAGGTAAATATATTCCAGGGTAGTGTAATATACCAGGTATATAATCTGCTATAAATTATACAGTGTGGAACCGGAGACGATGAAATATGTAAACTTTGGAATTATTTATAGAAGACCTGCTCCTGTGAGAACGATCCTTCTCCCACTCGCCTTGACCCAACCACTTGGGCTGGACGGTATAGAGCGACGGTCTCGTTTCATGCAGGTCGGCGTCCAATCCCAGACTGTCCAAGTGGTTGGACACCATTCCTTTCCCGCTTACCATTCCAGATCCTTATCCCTTCCAAGGGCTATATAGTCGTAATAGCTTGGTGCTTTCTCCTTATAATTCCATTCCATTCCGGCCTGCCGTCCCCTCCGTCCACGGCGAGACTCGCGCCCTACGGTTCTCTATCGTGACTGCCTACCCTAACCGCCTGTCCTCTTCACATAACTGTCTAAGCCATCCTTATAACCTATCCATTTACCCTATCCTATCTCCCATAACACCGTCCTCCTGCGTCCTCCTCTCCACGCTTGGGAAAAAATCTCTCTAGTGAAAGAGCGAACCATATATATATTTTCCTCCCCCTTCGTTTTATCGACAAATATTTAGTTATTAAATATAAAATGTTACCTCTAAAGACCGAACCAAAAATATACATTTTTTTATTATTTTTTATACAAATTTGTGACCAAGAATCAGAAACAATTTCATATCAAAATGGTTGTTGCCCCCACCTGCTGTACCACTGTCTTCCTACACATTATACTAGTCCATGTTATCTTGAGGTTATCTTGAGATGATTTCGGGACTTTAGTGTCCCCGCAAGCCCGGTCCTCGACCAGGCCTCCACCCCCAGGAAGCAGCCCGTGACAGCTGACTAACACCCCAGGTACCTATTTTACTGCTAGGTAACAGGGGCATAGGATGAAATAAACTCTGCCCATTGTTTCTCGCCGGCGTCCGGGTTCGAACCCAGGACCACAGGATCACACAAGTCCAGCGTGCTGTCCGCTCGGCCGACCGGCTCCCATCGCCCATGTTAACACTAACTCCACTACTACTAACCTGCTAATGAATATTACTTTAATTATTATGAGTAAATCTGTAGAAGCCATGGCGAGGATTCGAACCTGCACACTGAACACTTCCCAAGCACATTCATTAAACCACTGAACCACTATATGCTAAACACAAATTCACCGTCCCCCCCCCCCTCGACATTACCCCCCCCCCCCCCCAACGCTCCCATACCACCCCAGTGTGAACCATGATTTGGTATCCGCTCGATGCCTCTATACCCCTAGAAGATTCATAGATCAGGTTACATTGATTTTTAGCATATCGTGGTTCAGTGGCTTAAGACATGTGCTGGGTAGTACAAAGTGTGCAGGTTCGAATCCTCCTCATGGCTCCTACTGATTTCTTTTGGTTTTATTTGTCAAGATTTACTGTATTATTCTATATATTTGACTATCTCAACTTCCATGTTATTCTTGTCCAGATTCTTGTATATAAACTTATTTCCACAATATAATTATGATAAACAAGAAACAGACGACACCTCTGTTGACACTCTTACTACACTGTACACTCTCTGTCACTCATCATCTTGGTCTCACTCTTGTTTACTTTATGTCTTGAAGTGTGTCTCTTGTTTTGTACTTACTTGTGAGTATGTGACTTGAGCAGTGAAGTATTCCCCCGACGCCACGGGATCTGAGGACGTATCAATAAAGAATGAATAAGTTGCCTTAATATTAGTAGTAAGGATCTGAGGAGACAAGACTAAGAAGTACTGGAATATGACGGAGGAAATAAGGAGGATGACGACAGCTTTGTGTACCATAACCACCCACCACCAGGGTACACCGGTGTACCATAACCGCCCACCACCAGGGTACACCGGTGTACCATAACCTCACCACCACCAGGGTACACCGGTGTACCATAACCTCACCACCACCAGGGTACACCGGTGTACCATAACCTCCCACCACCAGGGAACACCGGTGTACCATAACCTCACCACCACCAGGGAACACCGGTGTACCATAACCACCCACCACCAGGGAACACCGGTGTACCATAACCTCACCACCACCAGGGAACACCGGTGTACCATAACCTCCCACCACCAGGGAACACCGGTGTACCATAACCACCCACCACCAGGGAACACCGGTGTACCATAACCTCACCACCACCAGGGAACACCGGTGTACCATAACCACCCACCACCAGGGAACACCGGTGTACCATAACCACCCACCACCAGGGTACACCAGTGTACCATAACCTCCCACAACAAAGGTAATGGGGTCACATACTCCGTGCTGGCAAACCCAATAACGGCTGGAGGTGGGCGAGGCCCTTCAGACGAACCTCTGACCTGACCTGCGTTCGAGGCACTTAAACTGTTGAAGGTGCCTTGTTAATCGAGTTTTATAGCGGCGTTAACTACGCACCGAGTTATTACGAGAGACTGAAATTAATCTACATGTAGGGGTTGAGAATAGAAAGAAGTCTCGTGTCTGGATAATAATCGAGGTTTTGAGAAACGCGCTGAATGAGAGATTCCGTTCGTCTCTGACATCATTCCGTGAACAAATATATCCTTTGGATAACTCAAGTATTGGGGGTAGTTTCCGTTGGACTGATTTCTAGTCATGTCGTATTCCATTGTCTTAAAGACTACCTTGAGGTATTTCCGGGGCTTAGCGTCCCCGCGGCCCGGTCGTCGACCAGGCCTCCTTGTTGCTGGACTGGTCAACTAGGCTGTTGTACTAGAGCACAAAATATGCTGAAATTCGGGGTCTGGTTTGGGAAATGTATCTGACGCCAGGAGGAAAGACACGCCAGAGTGGGTGAGGAGCCACAAAGAGACCAGGCAGGGTAAAGAGCAGTCACAAGGGGCTCAAAATGGACCGAGGACCGAGGCTGTAGACTAAAAACATAGAAGATATCCCACCCACCCTACACACACCCACCCTACACACACCCACCCTACACACACCCACCCTACACACACCCACCCTACACACACCCACCCTACACACACACACCCTACACACACACCCACCCTACACACACCCACCCTACACACACCCACCCTACACACACCCACCCTACACACACCCACCCTACACACACCCACCCTACACACACACACACCCTACACACACACAGGGCATTGCCAATAAGTGAAGATTGTCGCCTCAGGCAACGTCACCAAGTCGTCAAATGAACGTCAGGTTTACAGCTTCTCGTCTCCCAAAACGTCAGGTTTACGGCTTCTCGCTTCCCAAAACGTCAGGTTTACGGCTTCTCACCTCCCAAAACAACAAATTGTCACCTGGATTCGGCCACAAGAAGTCGTCCGGTGAGGGTGTGCTTTACAAGCCGCTCTCAGATTGTTATGGTGACCCGATTGTTGATGTGTTCGGACCGGGGGTGCAGCCCTCCGGCTGTTTGGTTGACGTCATGGGGACCCCCTTCCCCCTATTCGCCGTTCGGAGACGATTGGCCTGGAGTTCTCTGGCAGGGTGTCGTACCTTGCCGTGGAAATTGTTATGTTGGACATGTTCCGCGTTCAGGTCCCGGATGTGTTTGGTGTACACTGTCAGGAGATGGAATTTTCCAGCTCCCTTGTACGCTGAATGGATGCACAGTGCAGGGTGCACAGGTGCCTGTGCACCGTGATTCACTTTTCGAACTACAACTTCTACACAGTCGTGTTGGGTGTCGTTGGACAGCCCATGATGCTAGCTAGTCAGTGATGTTATTTTGATTGCTGTATCAGGTCTGTGAAGGAAGTTACAGCAGGAAGTCGATTTCTGTGTATTTTGTACTAGTTCAAGTGTAGAGGGAGGTTTGGGGGGTCAACGGTTGTGAGCCGACCACCATCACATGTCACCCTCTTGAGAGGTGGGATAGATTGTCGAGGAAGGAGCGCCATTGGCCAAGGCGCCTGGGTCTCAGGAATGCTTCGCGGTGATTGGTCAAGAGGCTGAGGGTACCGCATGTACACCTTGGGGCCGCCTCGACGCCAAAATTATTCTTACCAGGGACATTGCTGGTAAAGGACGTACTTTCTCGTGCTAAGGCCAGGCACCGGGAAATACCACCTGCAACGTCACAAAAGTCACTCTTGTCGTAGTGCCGTCATTCCCGATACCGTAGGAGTAAGAATCCGGTGTCGTGGAGGAGGGAATTCGACTATATCAAGTGTGAACTTTGAGTGATTATCATCCAAGCCACGTGATAGTGGGACGCCATCCCAGAGTAACTGGACTGGAGAAGGTTGTTATCGTCGTGTGGTAGTGACATCCGCCGTCTATATTGCCTTAACTACAAGGTATCGTAGGAGAGACGATCTTCAGAAGGTTTCAGTGTTGTTGGAAACCTTCAATTCATAATTGTGAGGAATTAGCAGTGAACAGTGAAGGATTCTGTCATTCTCAAGTTCCGTACTTCCGTACCGTCGTACCCTGTCGTATCTCGCCAGTGTGGAGGGTGTGGTACTGTACCCAGCTGTGTGTAACTGTTGTGCCGCGCACCCTCGGCTACCTTAGGCCGAAGCATACTGCGCAATCCTGGTCTGTGTATGTAGCCACCCCGTGGTTCTGTCACCCCGTGGCCCAGCCGACCACGTGTATGAAGTAGTGAGGACGTCTACTTCACCGTCTTCGGGAGTCCGCCCTGAGCAGCGGTGGAGTGAGGACGTGTTCCGGCCTCCGTGACTGCTGGGGTTGTTTGCCATTTGGTCGCCAGGTGGTGTGGGCGTCACTGCCCTCCCAGTGTTGTTGCCTGCCTGGCTGCGTGCTGACGTGGCAGTTCTGTCATGGGGGGCTTTCCAGTTCCTCCTGTTCTGCGTGTGAATTCTGTGGGACTGGAGTTCTCGTGTAAGACTGGTTATCCAGCCATTGAGTTGGTGATGTGCGACATGCTTCGTGTCCCGGTGGAGGCTGTCTACGGAGTTGAGCTTGTTACGCCCACCGGGTGATTATCAAGTTCGTGAGGGAGGAAGAGTATCGGGACTTCCTCCGTCGGTACGAAGGGCGTTCGTTGTGAGTCTGGCCCTAGCTTCGGTGCGGGGCAGACGTGTTGAATCGGCGCTCCAGCAGTTTGGTGTTGTTTGCCCGTTTCGGCCGGTTGGGGGCGGGTGTGTGTCTGCTCGCCTGTGCTGACGTGGCGTTACGATGGGGGTCCCTCTACCCCCAGTCGTCCGGGCTCAGTCTGTGGGACTAGAGTTCTCTGTGCGGGCTGGTTACCCGGAGATTGCCCTGGCTTGTGAACTGCTCTCTGTCCCTGTGTTTGCGATTTATGGGGTCGAGTTGGTAACGGCCCGTAGGGCCATTGTGAAGTTTGCAGAGGAGGCGGCGTATCGCGATTTTCTCCGGCGATACGAGGGGCGGACACTGCCCCTGCCGGATGGTGCAGGCACTGTCACCCTCTCGGATAGAAGTGGTGCACTTACTTACATCAGTGTGCATGGGGCTCCCTTGGAGTTTCCAGAGGCTCTGCTACGGCGGTATTTCGGGCGGTTTGGCGCAGTTGTTAGTGTGAGAGTGAACGTGGTGTCTTCTAGTCCTCTTAAGGGTGTGAGGTCTAACATTCGTACCCTGGGCATGAGTCTCCGGGCGGATATTCCGTCCTCTGTGCGCCTTATGGGGTACAACGTTCGGGTGTTTTACGCCCGTCAGCCGCGGACGTGTTATCGTTGTGGTCTTTTGGGCCATCAGGCTGCTGACTGTTCTGCGCCTCCTGTTGCACCAGTGAACCTCTTCAGTGAGGAGGATTTTCCGCCCCTTCCTGTGGGGGATGAATCGGTGGGTATGGACGTCTCTTCGGCTGAGGAGGTGCCCTCTGTAGCAGCTGTTGATCCGCCTGTTGCGCCCCTGTTGTTGCCGCATCTCTTCCAGAGGTTGGGTCCTCGCCTAGTGCTCCAGCTGGTGTCCCTGCGCCTCTTCCGCCTGCCGTTTGCTCAGACCCCTCGTCTTCCAGTTCTTCCTCTGCTGTGTCTGTCCCGGTCCCTGCACCCTCGCCGTCTGTCCCGGCTGTGCTGGGAGATGAGGTGGATCCGGAATTCCCTCCTGTGCCTGGCCTGGTGCCCCGTGTGGTTGAGGAGGCTGCTGTGCTGCGGCGTGCGTCGGTTCGCTCGGTTGGTGCTGCGCGGGTCGCTGAGTCTGCCTCCGGGTCTGATGATGTGCGGCCCGAGCCTAAGCGTTCCCGGCGTTCTTCTGTGTGGGCTGATGTTGGCGAATTCGACGAGTGTCGTCCTTCCGTTGACGGTGGGGTGGCTCCGGATGTGGTGCACACTACGGTGGTGGCGGAGGTACACTTGCCTGAGGATGCCGGTGCCGGCGTTTCGGCCTCCACTTCTGGTCCGGTGTCCGAGGGTCCTGCTTCAGGTGCGTTGCCTGCGTCGGATGGCTCCGGTTCTTCGTGGGCGGTGGTTCCCCCTGCTGTAGTTGGTGGTGAGCGGGGTGGCCTGGTGGTGATGTTGAGAAAGGATGCTCGCTCTGGATGTTCTGTGGCCCCTTCCTCGTTACCCGTTTCCTCGGCAGCGGTCTTGCCGCCTCTTCCGTTTCCTGCAGTCCCTTCCGTGTCTCCTGCGGTATCCGTGGAAGTGCTATCGTCTCAGCGTCCGACACCTGCTCCGATGGCGTAGGCGTGGCAGGCTCGGCGACCCTCGTCCGCTTCTCCGGTGTCGTCTG